CTGCACATGACGGTTGCCAAAACTGCAATGTGCTTTAAAGAAATTTGTTCTCAGCTCTGTGTTCCACAACAAGTTAGATTTAAATAAGTTAGAGGATAAATTAGGTGTCTTTTGTAACACTTGTATTACGCTGCCAGGGTTTGGAGATCCACTGCCACTGGGGACAACCCTGCAAAAATACTGTGCACAATAAGTCTTCTCTTGTAGCATGTTTCTTCCAGGCTACGTGGTGGTCTACTCGTTACAGAAGGTTTCCCATGACACATAGGTTGCAAACCCAATCCCTGAAGCTTGTGTGTCTATCAACAGCTGTGTGTTCAATCAACCTGACCTTGGGCTCCACTCTACATGCTCCTGCCACCTCACTACACACACTATAAGTAACTGTCATCTAAGCGAGCCTGCAAAAAAAAAAAAATAAGAGGGCTAAACCAAAGAAACAGTTTTCTCTCTTTGCCCAAGTCAAATACAGAGACTCTGTATGCCCACAGGAAGTGACACATCAAAACTGAAGTGCTCCGACACTGCAGGCAGTCAGTGATCCGCCAATAGAACAGCGAAGCTTGTTTCACAAAAGCCAGATTTGTGAGTCAGCAATATAACTTTGGACGGGTCTGGTCACAGCGAAATTTATGACAACATTTCACACAGCGTTTCATTTATTTGAATGGAAATGTTGAGGTTCGTTCGTGGCAGCAACCCAGCGCTGAGCCTTCGCACACAGTTCAACTGGGATGAAGTGGAACAGAAGCGAGGAGGCCATCCTTTCAGCTAATGTCATTTCATACAGTTGTTCTCCAGTAACGATACTCATGGAGATGCTACTCTGTGTTCTTAGTTGGAAAGCTGACCAGCTTGCTAGCTAGTAATGTAGCTGGTGCCATCTATTTAGGGTCGTCTTGTCGTCAAGCCAATTGCAGTTTGCCTCTCGTAATCCTACCTAGCCTTCAAAAATGAAAACTATGTTAAATTTTTCTGTCATATTTTGATAGGTTTTTTTATATCGGACCAAAATTTCATGACATATTTTTATTTTTACCCACTGAATCACACCACACGTGACACGGTGACATCCTCTCGTAATGTTTCGTCTAAATGTTCTCTGGATGTGTCCATAATGCTGCCTCTGCAACTGGCTATTTGTTAAAAAACTCTGGCTCTCTTACATAAGCGCACTAATAGCTGGTTTGGAAAGCCGTGGGTTGACAGAGCCAGTTGATAACCACCCTTGTGAAACAAGTAAGATTGCCATTGTTTGGTTTTTGTGGAACCGGCGACTGCACAGATGCCCCAATTTTGCAAAACCTGCGTCATGAGGCGAACCCAAGGTCTGAACACTACATATTTTGCCTTTCATCCCTTTGTATCCCTTTGAATTAAGTCCTCGTCATCAGACCAGATTGGTTAAAATGATCATACCGTGTGCCTTTTGCTAATGACATGTTACATCATATCACCAATCTTTTGGATAGTTCCTGGATTTCTCACCAACATGCAAAGCTGTTACGTTCAACTTTAAAACATACTCTGTCATATACTCACCAGAAAAAGGCGGAGGGTTAAGGAAGAAATGATAGTGTTATTATAGTATACAGTAGCATGTCATCTAGCTCTTGGATTACTATACCACCAGGACTATGACAAAAATGTGTTTGCTTTACATCTTTAACTCCAGGCTCTGGTCTGTGTCTTGCTCTGTCTCCTTGCACTTCATGGGAGGCCCTGACGTACTCGCACCCAACGCACAGATATGTGCCGTGTAATTAGATCAGTTGTTCATGTGTCTGCGTACGAACGCCACTAAACAAAATTCCTAAAATTAACAACGCCCTGTGCTAATCCTGGCAGCCAAAATGGGTCACAAAAATGTTCCTGGTAGGTTCAAGACACGGCAAAATCCCGACTGAATACCAGAACAAGACGCTTCTCACATTTGGGGAAATTTCAAGCGTTCCCATTCCATCAAACAGCTGAAAAAGAGCACCGAACAAAGCATATAATCGCTGACTCGTTGCCCTACCAGAGCACTGTAATTATGCCTATAAAACACAATCTATATATAAACAACAATAGCCAGTTAAAGTGGGTGTTATGTCAGGGTGCTCTGGTGACTCAGTGCGCAAAGGAGCACACCCCATGCGCTTGTGGTATTGTGAGTTTGACTCCAGCAATTGAAGGCTTCGTGAGACGCTCAAAATTGGTACGACAGACGAGCAGCAACCAGCTAAAGCACTCACTTACATGTGGCTGATGACTCTTAATTGTGCCTGGTACACCGGCACGCGGCCCACCTGTGCTCAAGCTCAAGTTTTCTTGTCTACAAGCCGGTGTGCCTGCTGAATAATTTACGCCATGCTCTTTAATTCACCGGCTGATGTTGCCAGCAAATTTAGCCTCAAGCCCCATTTACATGATTGCCATACGGCTGATATTTCAGCAAGTTTGCATGATTACTGTGAATAACCAGATTACAGAATTAGTTCAACTTGTTTAATAGTCAAGTTACTCTCGGGAGGGTTGCGTGATAGCCAAAAGGCTAAGAGGGAAATGATTAAATGATTGTGTTTCATGCCAATGAAGTAAATTTGGAAAGGAAGCTGAACAGATATCACATGCAGAATCATGGCACGACAAGCAGTAAGTGGTGTCCTGTAAGTTTGAAAAGGGGGTTTCTGCTTAAAGGGCTACCGCTTTCTGTAAGTACAAGAACTGTGGGAGGTGTTTTGTCAGGAAAAATCGATAAAGGAACACTGCTTTCTACCGCAACAACAAGCTTTTAAGACCCTCTCACATACAGATCCTCCCAATCTACAGCAGCAGAGGACTGTGGTCGTAGTAGGCAGTTTGGCAAGGCGTGGATGTTTGTAAAGTTATGAATGAGAATTGTGGTGGTGCTAAAAGAAGAACCTACATTTACCCAGTCAACTCTACATGGAGAATTCAAGATTAAGGAGGAACCAGCAGCCAATAGAAATCCACAGTAAATAACATCGTTTTTTTTAAAGCAGAGATTAGACAATTATTCCAACATGTTGCTTTATTTCAGATCACATGCTTTATGAAATGAATGGCCTGTATAGAAGCCAAAGGCAGACTGGTTCCAGCTCCCTTTTTTTCCTCTCGTCTCAATAAAGCACTTCCTAAATGCCTCTCACACAGCCCAACGCCCCTCGCAGTCTGTTTTTTGCGCAACATCCGCTACCTCCCTGTTTTCTGAAACACATGCTCGAGAGACAGGCCAGGCCAAGTCATCAGCACACAATTGGGACACAATACACAGAGTTTTCCTTATTCCCAGAATGTCGTGTACCTCATTTCAGAGAGGGAGAGAGAGAGAGAGAGAGGGAGAGAGAGGCCTGTCAAATTGTGTAGCTTTTATACAAAGTATGCCCAGGAGTTGATAAAGCTCCAGTTTTAAAGCCAGGACAAAATGTTATGAAATAGGCTAAGAAAGAATGTTGCAAGCTCCAGCAAGCAGCTTGCATGAAGTAGGGAAGTAAAGAGAATAGTGTGTGTGTGTGTGTGTGTGTGTGTGTGTGTGTGTGTTTGCAACTGTAGGCAAAAGGAGGTAAAAGTTAACCGTTCTGAGGCTGATTTAGCCCCTTTCCCTAACTGTAGTACAGTAAAGCAAATCAAAACCCTTAACTTAACCCTTAACTTAACCCCTGACCCACTCTGTGAAGCTTACTGTATCTGAATCCTTTACTGGTATTACTAATACACTTACATTCATTTAAACTTACAAATGAATGCGCGCGTGGAATCTCAAGTATCCTAATCACGGCACATTAAAGTAAAATGAGCACATAATGACACAAGTGGTATTATAGAAGTGCCTTTCCTGGTGTGGCTATTTCTGCTATTTCACAAGCCTGGGACAAGTCCTATTTTGAGTCCAGAGTTGCAACACAATAACATCCAGTGATGCAGTGTGGGTAACCTTAAGACTGTGGGTCAGCAGTCATCGTAAGGCAAACAAAATATGTTCGTTTATCAATAAATGTCTCGTTTTGACGCCTCAAAAGACGCTTTCCACGTGAAAGAATGTCAATAAAATGCTATTTAATGAGTCTAGGTGAACATTACCAGTATTAGATACACATAACCAAAAACTAATGCAGTCTGATACAACATCCCTGCACTCAATCCAACCTCAATTAATGCTATAATGTTCAGATTTGACTAAACCTCATGACCATTTAGAGGCTGTCTGTGGTGCTGGTAAACCTGATTCTATTATAAAGCGTCTCCAATATTATTTATATCAATGAGGGTAAAATTTGAGTGTATTAAAATAAAAATAAAAAGGTGCTTTAACTGTCTTACGGTGGATTTATCATCCATTACAGTACAAACCGCCCTAAAACTTCACTAAATAAGAAACTACAGCCACCCTGGAAATATTTCACAGGGATTTCTATCACAACTATGTGCAGGAATACTAAAAACAATACAATGAAGCTGAGTTAGGTTGGTGGACATTCACTGCTTCTTAGGCATCAGAGGAGACAATGAATCATAGCAGTGTACCCTCACAATCAGGCTTGGTTAACAGACAGTAAGCCACCATAACACTGCACTTTAGCCCAGCATTTACCTACAAGCCAAGCTATCCCAACAACGCCATGTCTTTGTTTGGTTTTTTTTGCTTTAAATAAAAGCTCAAAGTGACCGTGAACGCGTCTTGTTTTGTTGTTGTCTCTGTATTTTTAAAGAAACAGGAGCCGGTGGTGTGTTTTTTTTTTTCTCTCTCTCTCTCTTTTGCTGTGGCTTGGGGGAGACAATGCTAGGCCGCCATGTAAAGCCTGGAAATGGGGAGGAAAGGGAAGAGGGCAGTGTGGCCGCCCCTGCCTCACCTCCTCGGGGAGGGGGGGAGATACAGGAGACAGGAGGGGAGACAGGAGGAGGGCGGTGGGGATATGAAGGGGTCAGCGCGGAGTTAAATGTGGGGGAAATATGAGATTAGATAAAAGGCAAAGGTATGTTAAATTGTCACCCACCATAAAGTCGCTGCCGAAGTTGTCCTCTCCCCTCACCTCGTCCCCCTCTCTCATGGCCCTCACCCCCTGGATAAACTTTCTCAGGATGCCGGCTTGGTCCATCCTTTAGTCCTCTCGTAACGTATCCCGTATGCCTTGTTTGTTGTTGTTGTTTTGAGTGTGTAAAATATCCCCCCAAAGCAGCAAAAGAGGGGGATAAAATGTAAAAAAAATATATATAT